TGAAGGGTTCTGTGCTGGGCCTGCAGCCTGGGTCAAATGAGGATTCACGGGCCCCGGGTCGTCTCATTCACTTGCCAGGCCTGTGCTCTGGGTCTGTTCAGGATCCCGCAGCCCGGGCAGTCTCACTCACTCCCCGGGCCTGCGCTCTGTCTTTTGATTGCTCAATTTATACCACGTATTGAGTTCTCCTTGTCATGTTATCTTCCTGTTGTATGTTCCCTCCCCCCTGTTGTATTGCTTGCCTTGACAATGGCTTCTTGGTGGTGTTCATGGAATTGTAAGCCTTGATCTCTGTCTAGAATATCCTTCAGAACATTTTGGCATGATAAAGTGGTATTCATGAATTTCTTCAGGAATTCTTAGTCATGAAAATATTGTATTTCTCCACTAATTCAGAAAGACAGTTTTGCAAGATACATCAATCTGAGTTGGAGGTTTTTTCTTTTAGAGATTACAATACTTCACTGCAAGCACTCCTTGACTTGTGGGATTGTGTTGAGAAGTCTGCTGTGATTTTGGTGGATTTTCTTTTATAGCTGGTTTGTTTCTTTTCTCTAACAGCTTTTAATATTCTGCTCTTGTATTACATTTCTGAAGCCTTGAGTATATTCCTTGGTGCAGATTTTTTTGGTCTTGGATGATTGGAGTTCTATATGCCTCACTTATGTACTTGTTAAATTCTTTTTCCTGCTTGGGGAGTTTTCTTCTATGACTTCTGTGAACAGGTATTTTTCCCAATAATTTGTGTTATTTCCTGTTTTTTCATTGCCTCTGATCAACCCTATGATATTCTTTGCACTATCTAGCAGCTGCTGGATTGATTTCTCACGATCCCTTGTTATTTTGAAGAAATCCTTTTCGTGACCATTATCCAAAATTTTGTCTTCTATATCTGAGATTCTGTCCTCACTCTGGCTTTTTCTGCTCTACATACTTCCAGTAGAGTTTTAGATTCCATGGGTATCTGTTTGAACCTGTGCCATGGATACCATTTCTTTCCTATGGTGGATATTCATAGTTTCCATGATTTTCCTAAGGTCTTCCATTTATCTGTATCTGCTGTAGAGTCACTAATTTCTCATTATGGTCATGATCTCTGTACTTAGTTAAGAAACTATTTGTGATTTAATTATTTTCTATAACTTTAGTCATCTGCTTGGTTACTTCCATTGTTACCACATCAGAGGGCCCACATTGGTGTGTCTTAGTTTGGTTCCAACTTGTTTCTTTCTGGATTTGTATACAGTAAGCTGGAAGTTTGAAGTTGCATCCTGTTTAAATGTTTTCTCATTTTCTATTTTTTTGAAGTTTAATTTCTGGGTTGATGTTTATAAATTGCTACTAGTGAATAGCTTTGGTGCTAGTATTTAGGATCCTTATGAAATAATTATTTCTCAGAGGTGTCTTCCAGTATAGCTGTTTTTGGGGTTTAAGTTTGTTAAAAGATTCTACTTCTTGAATTTATTGAGGATGGTAATTTACGTGGCCCCCCCCATTGGTTCTGTGGCACTGCCCTATAGTATTTATGACTCTTGGGCTGTATAAGTCTGGGCAAGCCAGCAAGAATTACTGGTTGGAATGATTCTGTTACCTTGGCTAAATTGATATGATTACCAATAAAAATAGCATTAAGCACAGTCTTGAAAATTAACAGAGGCAACAATTAATTCACCACCTTCAAACATATGAAATAGATTTGTGGTTATGTAACAAAATCTAAAATCAACCAGAAAACTATGTGTAGTAAATAAGCCTTTAATATGAATTATTCTTTTTTTCTTTCAAGGCTTATAATAGGGTAATTTTAATGGAAAACTCTGGACAATTTTATTCTGTAGAAGAAAACTTGAAATTTGTTGGGGGAATATTGAGGAATAGAGGAGAAAGAGATTATAAGCAAGTCTGAAGGGCAAAGAAAGTTCATCCAAACTTTGCAAACCTGGTGGCAAAAACAGGAGGGAGAGAAGGAAGAAATAAAAACAAGAACATAGTAGAGCAAGTGACAAAACCCTAGAAACTCTGTTCACAGTCATATAAAATTGTGAATCAACAGTCAAGAAAAGCCAAACTAAAGTAAAATAAGAAAAACAATAAAAGAGAGAAAAAAGGAATAAATAAGAGAAAAATTTCCCTTCAAGGCATGTGTCCATTGGTGTTGGTAGACCTCATGGGCAGACAGAGTCCAGGTCCTTAGTGACTGACCCCAGAATCAAGGTGTACCATTATAGCAAGATACTGGATAATCCCCGTAAGGATGCACCTTTAGTTCTACTGAAGTTCAAGCCAGTTTCACACTGTAAGGTTGCAAGCAGATTTGTTCAGCCCACAACAGTTATGCTCCTGTGGGCCTTCTGCAGAATGGCTACTGAGCTTTCATCCCCTGCTAATAAGATCTGAACCTGGATGCCTCACCAGCTACCACAGCCCCTGCATGCCTTGCTCTGTCCACAGATCACTTTCCACGGAGCCCTCTGGGGCTTCTGTAGTCACTGTGTGTCTGAAGGCTCAGCCTCCCTCCCATACAGTGAGTCCTGGCCCAGGGAAAGCATCACTTGCCACTTCCTTTTCACTGAACTCTCTCTCTTCACTTCCCTCGTGGGCTTCAATCCTCACTTCAGGCTGTTAGTGCATCCGGGGTCCCACCTTTGTCCTTCTTCTGTTCCTCACATTGCTATGTCCCAACATCTGGACACCAGATCTCAGAATGACTCTCTCTGTGCTGCTTACCACTGCACCATCTTCCTGGAACTCTATGCATGTTATTTGAAATTTCACTTTATTTGTACCTGCTTGTGATTCTTGATGTTCACCTTCACCTTAGGGAGTTCTCTAAGTGCACTGCAGAAGGCACTGGAGTTGATCATTTTTTCCATATTCTGTGTTTTAATAAAAGCTTAGGCAGCTTTTCTGCAGGATATGTGAACAGTTTCTGATGTTATAATGGCTTATACTGAGATTGTAGTGTCAGAATGAATGTTAAGCAGCTTGATTCACAGATTTATACAAAACATCTATGCAATATTGGTGCTTTGAATCTATTTTCTTTGTTCCTCAGCCCTGTTAATTTTTTGAGAATAGATAAAGTTTAATCTAATTTAAAATTATTATTGCATGTTATGCACAGTGGAGGGGTGTGCACCAAGGAGGAAACAGGTGCACAGCATCCCCCTGAATGTCTTGTGCTCTCCTCAGCACTCTCGCTTATTGAGGGGAAGACCTGAGCTGCTGCCCCTCAGAGAAACCGGCTCCAGGAGGATGATCCTCAGCTTCCCACCCGCGCCGCACAGCCTGCTCTCTGCCTCTGTGTCATTTACCCTGCGCTCACCCTGGAGCACAGGGCATCTCTGAGGTGAGTTTCACTGCCTGAGCCCTCGAGTTGACATTCTTGGATCTTTCTAGAACTGAGTCCTGACTGCCAAATCCAAGCGAATCTCATTCCTGTTTTTTTGATTATGTCCCTAGTGGAATTTGGCCCTGCCAACTGTCTTTATTCCAGCCATAGAGCCTTGTGTATTCCATTTGTTAAAGAGCCGTGATGTCTGGGAATGAGTCCTCTGTAACGGACTTCATCCTCGTGGGGCTCTACCCTAAGTTCCGGCATTCCACGATCCTCAACTCCATGGTTGTCTTCGCATATGCCCTTGCCTTCCTGGGAAACACGCTTCTGATTGTTCTGATCTGGGGGGACTCCCGGCTCCACACACCCATGTACATTCTCCTCAGTCAGCTTTCCCTCATTGACTTGACACTAACTTCCACAATTGTCCCAAAGATGGCCTTCAACTTTTTCACAGGAGAAAGGACCATCTCCTGGATTGGCTGTGGAACGCAGAGCTTCTTTTTCCTGATGCTGGGAATGTCCGAGTGCCTCATCTTGACCCTCATGGCTTACGATCGCTACGTGGCCGTCTGCAACCCGCTCCGCTACCCCATCATCATGAACGCCCGCATCTGCCTGCAGATGGTTGCTGGGTGTTGGGCTGGGGGCTCGGCAAGTTCCCTCGTTCACACTGTTTACCCCATGCATTTCCCCATCTGTGGCTCCAGGGAGATCCACCACTTCTTCTGTGAGGTCCCAGTGCTGCTCAAGCTCTCCTGTGAGGACACCTCAGTGTACCAGCTGGTGGTGGTGGTGACAAGCATTGTGCTGCTTGTCGTCCCTTTCAGTCTCATCACAGCTTCCTACACACTTATCTTCCTCACTGTCTTCCGCATGAACTCGGTTAAGGGCCGGAGAAAAGTCCTGGCCACGTGCTCGTCACATCTCACTGTAGTGAGTCTCTTCTTTGGTCCGAACATCTTCATCTACATGACTTTCACCTCCTCTCACAGCCCGGAGCAGGACCAAGCACTCTCTGTTTTCAGCAACATCCTCACCCCCATGTTGAACCCCCTCATCTACAGCTTGAGGAACAAGGAGGTGATAGCAGCTCTCAGGAAGCTGGCTTGGAGATGCGTGTTTTTGTAGATGAATGATCCTTCCTGTGATAGTGATGTGCTTATGACCATGGGCAAAGAAAAAAAAAAAAGCTACCATCAAAGTTTAAGGACAAAGCATGTGTTGTGTGGCTTCAGGAAACCAAGATGGCCTTATGCAAATGGAACTTTGGATGTATGATTTTTGAGACCTCAAGTGGAGACTTACATACTTTTTTAAAATAAATATCAATGGGTCTTCATTAAGTGAGGAAAGTATTAATGAGATACTTTATTACTTTCTAAAATTAAACTTAGTCTGAAATCTCTGAAATTATTAGACACGGCTAATGAATTAAAGCTCACGCTTGAATTTCAATAAGCATAGATTTCTTGAATTTTCTCGGTACTTATAGTAGGAATATTATTTGAAATATGAAGTTAAGTATTAAAATGAAGTGATATGAGGTGAACTGAGTCAAGTGTTCAGGCTAATTGCTATCTTTTGTAATACAAAGTATTGAGGAAAGGGTTCCATCGAGCTACCAAATTATTGGGTACACCAATTTGAATATATGTCCAGTGAGGGGCCAGGGAGATGGCTCAGTAGGATAAGCATTTGATTGGCAAACTCAAGGATCTGAGTTCAATCCCCGGTTCTGCAAAAAGCAAAAAACAAAAAACAACCAAAACAAACAAAAAAAAAAAGAATATATGTCCAGTGTCGTAACTGCATAGTTTTCAGTGTGAGTGTTGTTCTACTGTGCATTTGTCTGCTACGATTAGGTAATATAAGACTCACAACTAACGCTCTAATTTTCCTGACTGCAAATGAAGAACAGGACAAATGTCAACAGTGTATCGAGCAGCTTGGTGGGTTACGCAGAGACCCGAATACCTCTTCCTTTCTCCTCTCTGCTCTTTCCTACATGCTGTCCCCTTCTCCCTGGGCAGATTCGTAAGGAATCTCCACAGCTGATTTTCTTCGCACAAATAGTCAAAATCCCTCGGTCATGTTTAGCTACAGGAACAGTTTCACTTTAATGTTGTAATAAATTTTCCTGCTTCATTTACATGAATTCCAACCCTCTCTGGGTGCAGTTATTCCACTAGTTGGACTCTTAGGGAGTTCAGAGAACAAGCCGTGAGATTCCCTCTTTTCCTTGCTGTTGTAACTCAGGCTGGCCTGCCACCACGGTGCGCCCCAATTGGACCCGTGGTCCTTCCTGTCCCGTGTGACTCCGTGCAGCTGACAGCAGCCCAGGCCCAGGGGGCAGCGCTAGACTCCGTGTCACTCAGAGGCCCTCAGGGTTCTGTCTCTACCCCTCACCAGAAAACATGTTTGGAACTCTTACTTTTTAATCAATTGTAATTGATACATAAATCATACAATTCTACTTATTAATGGATATCATGTAATTCTTTAATACATGTATGAATTATATAGTTCAAATCGGTATGAATACACTAGCCTCCTTAGACACTTGTAACTTATGATGACAATGCTCCAAATCTGGATTTCGGATGTATGCACAACAATTTATGGTCACTGTACTGTGCTGCGGTGCACTGGAGCGTCTCCTCCATCCTACCTGGGACTTGGGAAGCGCGGCAGTCTCTCCTTGTCCCCTCCCCCATGTCTACTCCTGCCTCTTGACCAGCTTCGTCGGATTCCGTGAGGCCGGGTGGCGTTTGCGTTTCTCGGGCTGGCACACTTCGTCTGACGTCATGAGCTTTAGTTCCAGCAGCACTGCCACCAGACAGGGACTTTTTCTTGTTTCCGTGGCCGGGTGGTAGCGCGGCCTTGGGTAGCGCTGCGCTCTCCGCATCCCCACAGCAGTGGCGAGCGCTGGGCAGAGCGCTCCTCGGCTGTCGTCAGGGCTGCGGGAGGCTGGGCTTGCAGACGCGCCCGCAGCCTGAGTATTTAGTGCGGACACGCACCGACGCGGGATCACCTGGTGTTTCTGTCCTTAATTCTTATTTTTTTTAAAAGGAAAAAATAGTGTTGTATTTATTACCACACAGTTATAATACACTTTATTATTTATTTTGTTAATAATACACTTTAAATGTGCAATAAGATAGTCTTTAAATTTGAGGTGGTCTTAAAGACAGCCAATTAACAGAATTACAAATTTTTGAAAGAGGTGAACTGCCGCAGTTATAGGTGTGCATTTAAGAAAACTGTATAGCTCTTACATGACCAGCAATGTAACTTTATTTTGTACATTTTTAATTGAAAATTTAAAAATATAATTAACAAAGAAAAAGAAAATACACCATAATAAAAAACATACATTTCTTAATTAAGTGTATTGGATATATGTAAATTTTAAGGGAGGAAGCAAAGAAGGAAAATTGTTGATATTTAACTGCAGACTACCTAGATAACTTAAAAAATATCATTTGCGGAACCCGCCGTTCCCCCAGCAGCGTTCTGGTGTATGTTTCCACCAGCAGTGTCCTTGAGGTCTCTTCTCCACTCCCTGCAGCCCCTGTTTACTTTTCTTTTTCAAAATTTTATTGATAAACAGCAATGAGACAGTTTCAAATCAAATCAGAAGTACAGTTTCAACAAATAATACACTGCATATATTCTTCTTAGTGGTTAATTGCTGTACAAGATGTGGAATTGTGATCCTATTTACAAACACCATTAGAACAAATCATTCTATTCATTAAGAGAATGCAACTATATATCTATCCCAACCACTTTGAATACACAGATACAAAATGGACATTCATCTGTATACCCTATTTTTTCGAAGTTCCCTTATTGGATATTATAGGTGTGTAAACTCAGCAAAATAGTCTAAAAGAGTCCAGTAGCCCATAATAGCATTGGGACTTCTGTTTAACTGGCAATGTCAGAAATTATTGACCTGGGAGTCCCCCACAGCTCAACATAACAGCATGGCTTTACTTCCTATATTTCGTCTTCATACTTTTCTACTGGATGGTTAAGACCAAGGTAAAGCAGGACCTGTGCAATGAGAGTTGTAGGTTTTTGGTCTGAGAAGGTCAGTGAAATCCCCTCAGGATTTATCCATATGAGAACATGTACTGTAACGTCATGTACCTTGGTAGTGTCCAAATTTTCTGATCAAGAAGATTATGGGGCCAAAGAGGAAAGTGATCGATGACGTAGAGTGTGCCTAAGGAGAGTCACATGGGGAGAAAACACTCTCTCAGGCTTTCACAGAGAGCACATTGGCCAAGCAATGGCCGTGACTCATCCACATGGCTGCACTGACAAAGGTTCTACAATCTGAGGTACAGGATCTCAGGATAAATCCTGAGGGGATTTTACTTTTCTTGACAGCAGCCTGCTAGCGGGAATGTGAGGCTGGCTGTCCCTGCTCTGACTGCCACGTCCCTGACCCTTGTGATGGATCTCTCAGGAAGGGGAAAGCACTCCTGCTGCGGGCGCAGCTCTGCCGTGGAGCCTGCCTGCATGCCGAGGGCTGCGGCTTGGGCCTCCCTCTCCCGGGTGACACCTCTGACGTCAGAGTGCCTTTGCTCACGTGGCCTGGTGCCGGCTCCTGTGCTGTGCCTCGGCCTGGGACAGTGGCCTTTTCTGCCTTGATCACTCAACGTAGCAGTCTCATGTCGCACCCAGTGCGTGAGCTGCCGCGGTATTTACAGGTGTGTGCTTTCCCGTGGAGCTGCAAAGGACCATTGGGGGATGTGCTTCCTTCTTGGCAGTAAGAGCTGTAAGATTCAGTAACTTACGTTTTATTTCAGAAGGGCCTTGACAGTCTCCGGATCTGCACTGTGTCTGTCCTTTGCCTCTAGACCCCCAAAGTCTTAACCAGGTCCCGCACATGATAACCCCTCGTGGTATCTTGGCTTCTTTTTGGAGCAAACATCCAAATTGACATTTTATCTGTCCTACATGAATGGTAATAATTTATAGTCTTTTAAAAGTCATTATGTAGAAGAGTACAGTTGCTCACTTAGTTACTAATTACCAAAAATGCGATAACACTTTTATGCTGAATGTAAATCAGCCTGTCCCATTCAAAAAATACACAAAACTTAACATTCCCACCACTAATACATGGGGACACATCTATTCTCATCTCTATTGGCCTTAGACATCATTTAACATCTTTTAGTGTCACTGGCTGCGCTCATGACAATGATCTCCAGCTTCGGAGGCTTCCAGCAGTAAAGGGCCCATCTCCTGGCCTGACAGGGCTGTGGAATCGCCAGCCATCTCTTTTCCTCATGAGCACAAGGCAGAGCCCATGGAGAAAATGGGCAGGTTCTGTGGCTGCGCTCAGAAAGGCTACACATCAGTCACCAAACTCCAAGTGACACCGGGGATGAGAGAAGCCAGGCAGCTCCGGACAAAGGCTTTCAGCCACACTCTCAGAACTTCTCTTTCCCTCGCGGAGCTTGTGCCCTCATTCTGGCTTCTGCCTGCATCCGACCCCAGTGCTTCCCCCTTCAGTGACAGCAAGGGGACTTAGGGCTGGAGCCCTACCCTTGCCATGTGTAATCCAAGGTGGACGACATAGTCTCACTTCCACACATGACTATTCTCTCAGCATTGCTAGGAGAAATTCTCCAGAACAAAGGCCAGCTCATCCGGGAGAGCGCCTCTGGGAATGCACGAAGCAGTAGGAATGAGCGCTGCCACAGAAACCCGCAGGCCCCGTGAAATAATAATCCACAAAGCTGAATTCATCCCCACAAAACCCACACGCCCCTCTGTTTACCCCACTGTGAGCTCCACTTGTGCAGAGAGTCAAGCATTTCAGTCTTGCCCTGTATCTAGTCACTTGCCTTTCTACACACCTATGACTTTAGGTAACTAAGGATTGTGGTGTGAAGAATCTCCATCTGCCTCTGTGTTTACATGGCATAATAAATTTGATGCATATTGGTTTTAGATTTTTAAGGCTATACTTTTTAAGGTTTAAGTTAAATTCATGACCAGTGAGGGAGGCTCTTGGCAGCATGCTGATTCCGCAGGGCTCAAGCTGGTGAGTTGCCAGCTGTGGGTGAGTGGAGCCAGCAGGGACATGACTGAGAAGGTGGACGATGAAGGTGCAGTGAAAGTGAGAAGCGGGTCACATTCCCATGTGGCCCTGCATTTGGTCTTCTTTCTCTGGGGGACTGGTAGGAGCCCTAAGGTGGGCAGGAAGGGCAACTGCATGTGGCCCAGTCTGGGGATGGAACGGTCCCAGAGACAGCTGGAAACACAGGTCCTTGCGGTGTTGGGACCCAGGAGACCGGAAGTCAGGGCTGAGCCTTTGGCGGTGCTGTTGACCTCTGTGAGGACGTGGCCTCCCCTTCTCCATGCTCCGATAATGCCAAGTCTGCACCTGAGCGCTGCTGTACTGAGTCCTCGGTACTGAACTCAGTGTGCTGGGCTGGGGCGCTCTCCCCTTATGCTCGAATTCCACCCAGTGAGTTCTCAGGAGTCTAGGAAGCTTCTGAGTAATTGGCTGTAAAAGACGGAGAGAAACTGAGGAAGCAGGCCTGCTGGGTGGAGCAGAGATGCAGCACAGAGCTGAGGGAGCGGCCTCCCGCTGGCCTCCAGAAGGCAGCAAGCTCTGCAGCCAGGAAAGAGGAAACCAAACCAAAACAAAACATCGCTGGACCCCAAGTCCTGGTGGCAGAGAAAATCTACCAGAATAGCTCACAGGGGATGGGGTGCTACCCTGCACACCCTCTGGGTGGTCTGTAAAGGAAGGGCTTGGGCTGGAGACCCAGGGAGACCAACAGAGCAGAATAGGCAGCACAGCCCAGGCACAAACTCCCTGGAGCGCTGGAGGTGGCCGCTGGCAGGAGAGGCCTGTAGCTCTTCTGGACTAAGCACCTCCCTCACGGAAAGCAGGATAAATTGTCCTAATGCTGTCCAGCCTCACCTGGTGCTCCAGTTCACAGTGGGTTCTGTTTGCCCACTTCTGTCTTCGCTCATCCACAGTCTCGCCCGACTCCTGCCTGTGTTGGGTTTGTGCATAACTTCATCTTGTGGCTCCTCTCACCTATGTCCTTTACTTCTTCCTCACCTTTTCCTGTCTCACAAACAGTCAAGACGCCCTAAGCAGGACACGGCCTTAGCGCCCAGTTTTGCACCCCCAACCAAGGGCTGTCTCCCGGGGTCTGTGACTGCAGCGTCTGGTAGGTCACCGTCTGCCCCTGACTGCTCTCCTCCCCTCTCCTTGCCTACTTGAGGTCCCTTCCCTCCCTCTTCGCTCTCTCCTTTCACACTCTCCCTTTCCTCCCACTTCTTTTCTGGCATATAAGTACTACAGTTGAAACTCAATTCTTCTCTGTTTTCAGTTTCAGAGCGCATCTCAGGGGCATGGTGCCTGAGTGTCATTACTGTGCTGTCTCTGCTGTGCCTCTCCTCGACTGGCAGGTTCTCAGGCTCCAGGGGCTCAGGCTGCGCGGTCCTGGGCTTCTGCTACAGTGCTAACTGGATGCACTCGGTGCAAAGACCTCCTTTCCGCTCGAGTCGTCTGCCCCTCTTCCCCACCTCTGTACACACCCTTCCACATGCCTTCTCCCTGCCTCTTACTTCTAGATATAAAAGCAAAATCATCAAAACCCAGTTTCTCTTTCTTTGATTTTGTTTCTTTACACTCCCCTTGGTTTATTAGCTTTTTTCTTCTCTTCCTTGAGTCTACCTCCCAGGCTATTCCCTGTCATTACTGATCCCATGTCCTCCAGAGTTACTGAAAGTGTGGAGGCTGGAACTCCGAGTAGGAGAGTATATTCTTCTGCTTGCCTGCAATTTTAGTCTTGTGCAATGAATTTGCATAGTTTTGACCAGAAAAGTATGCAATGTAATGACATGGTTTGCCAGTACTGGATTCATTTATGCTAAATGCTGAGGCCAAGTAGAGATTTGGAAAATTTAAAAATTCTCTCAGCAAACTACAAGATCACCTTGTATTCCTGATAATTTGCAGTGGGAAATTTCGACCTGTTGCTCCCTTGTATCTCAAGTTTCTTGTCTACAAATCTAGATGGCACAAAAACTACTTTGAAAAGAAAAACACCCTAATTTGTAGTGTCATTGTGATGGCAACTGAACTCATACGGACATGTGAAATATTTTTACCCATCTTATGTAGAATCAATATTATAAACATCAGATTTGTTGCTATTATAGTAATTATAACAGTTCAAAGGAGAAAGATGATACTTTCAATTGATGTATTGATGAAGCTTTGTCATCTTGATAAGTTAAAGTAAATAATTGTGTGAAAGAAGTATGTAGTTAAAATATTGGAAAAAAAGTCTAAAATAGCACACATTCCTGTCGTATGTAACCGTGCTGCTTGCGGTGGCCTCTGTACCCAGCAGATGTGTTCTGGGGCCTCCAGAAGATGACCACAGCAAACTTGGGGAACAGAAGTGCGCGCCTTTTCTCTCCCGCGGGCCGCAGGCTCCTAGATGCCTTTGCGAGGCTCTGAGGCTGCGCAGAGTGAGACCGGCGCAACTTGGCGGGCGCAGTGACACAACTTCCAAATACTTCGAAAGAACATGCTTTTATTTCCTTCAAAAAATGCCTACAATTCTGTCTAAACGCAGCACAGCAAGTCCTCTTTTCTCCAATTCAGCAAAAATTTCGCCCTTTTCCCTCGTTGCCCGTTGCTGGAAGGCTTTCACCCACGCGTCTCCTCTTGGGGCACCGCTGTCTTCTGGTCCTCTCATTGCTCGCCAGCCGGCACCCGCACGAGCAGCTCGCCTTTCATGCAGCCCGCACCCTGCCCACCAACCTCCGCACGGCGGCTTTGATCTCCTTGCTTCTGAGGCTGTAGATGATGGGGTTCAGGCAAGGAGGCAACACCGTGTAGGCCAGAGCGACCGCCAGGTCTTGAGTAGAGGAGGGCTCTGCGGTCGGCCCCAAGGCGGCGAAGAGCCCTGTGACGAGGAAGAGCAGGGTGATGGCGAGCTGCGGGGAGCAGGTGGACAGGGCTTTGGCCCGGCCTGCCCCCGACGGCAGCCGGAGCACGGCTGAGAAGATGCGGACGTAGGAGACGACCATGAGAACAGAGCAGCCCAGCACCAGGCACGAGCTCAAAGCCAGCGCCACGAATTCTACCAAGAACACCTCACAGGAAACCAGGGCCAGCACGTGAGGGATGTCGCAGAAGAACTGGTGGATGGTATTGGATCGACGAACAGGCTCCCAAAACATGTTGCCAGTGTGGACTGAGGCGTAGGAAAAGCAGCTCAGCCAGGCGACAGCTGCCATCTGGTGGCATCTTTCTGGTGTCATCTCAGCACCATACAGGAGCGGGTGGCAGATGGCCAGGTAGCGGTCGTAAGACATGACAGTGAGGAAGGCCAGCTCAGCGGAGGCGAAAGCAAAGAAGAAGTAGACCTGGGCCACACAACCCAGATACGAGATGGCGGTGCTGTGGGTCAGGGAGCTGTGGATCGCCTTGGGCACCGTGACAGAGATGTAGCACAAGTCCAGGGAGGAGAGGTGCTGCAGGAAGTAGTACATGGGTGACCGCAGATGCCGATCGAAAGTGACGGCCGTCACGATGAGCAGGTTCCCTGCCAGCGCCGCCAGGTAAACCAGCAGAAACAGCCCGGCGTGCAGGAGCTGCAGCTCGGGGGCCTCAGAAAAGCCGGTGAGCAGGAACTCTGTCACCACGGTGAGGTTCCCCTGTGAGGAAATGTGCGACAGTTTGACATGAGGTCATGAAACAGGAGTGCAGGACTGCAGAAACCACGTTCTCCTCCCGCAGATAAAGGCCACGGGTATGCTCCGCACCCTTATGCAGGTGGGGTGGCGGGTGGCAACTTCCATAGCATGCAAACAATTCTGAGATATGCCCAAGACAAAAATAGACTTGCGTATTTCCAGAACATTTTCATTTGTACTGCTCATTTGCCACCCAGCCCTTCATAAACATGAAGGTAAGACTTTTCCCTGGCAATATGGTGCACACCTGTGATCCCAGCAAGTTGGGAGCTGAGGTGGGAGGCTCACAAGTTTGAGCCTAGTCTGGACAACTTAAAGACTTCGGGAGACTCCATATCTAGGAAAAAAAAAAGATCTAGGGATGTAGACCATGTGAAGCCCCCAGGCTTGCTCCCCACTGTCAGAAAACAAAGATGAGAAAACAAAAACAAGAAACAAAAAGAATTTGTCCATCAAATAACCTAGGGTGCTTACTAAAATGTAGTCTCTTCCCTGGCAAGCATGAGGGCCTGAGTTCAATCCCCCGTTTAAAAAAAAAAAAAGAAATATAGATTCTCAGATCCAAGGCAAATACACTACATAAAAATTTATGGTATAAACCCCTCCCTCCCTTTTTGAGGGCCAGAAATCAAACTCAGGACCTCATGCTTGCCAGGCAGGCACTTGTGCTGCTGAGCTCTATCCCCACCATAGTGTCTAATCAACACTTTCCCTCATCCATGTCTCTGGCTGATTTTTGAGTACTGAGGTTTGTAGTTATAACTGGCTCCTCATTCTCAGGAGACTTGGACTCAGTCCTTGCTAGATAGCTATTGAACACCTTTGGTGGCAGAAATGTTAAAGAGGGTGCTTTCTCCTTAAGCAGTGGGGCGGAAGTGTACCAGGACTTTAAAGCATACCATGTCGGGCTCTATTTTGAAGAGGAAAGCTCATCTTGTCTGAATGCACAAGGCACCAGGACAGTGTTAACTACAAAGCCACAGCACTTACGTGACGCCTTGTCTGGGGTAGGTGTTGTCTTCTGGAACATAAGCAATTAATATTCATAACATTGTGATGAGTTGAATGTTTATAGAAGGAGGCGCTAACAGAGCAAGCTCAGATGTCTCGGTCAATGTGACCCCAAGAGCCGGAGCCCAAGCCCGAACCAGGACCAACACCTGGCGGGCTGTGTCCAAGAGGCGCCCCTAGTCCTGCGCCCCACTCCCTGTAGCACTTGGGGAGTAATCTGGACCAATGAATTTTAAAAAAAATGAATGAATATTTCTCTATGTTTGTCAGACTATTACATGTGCCTTTCCCCAGTAGTGTCGGTTGCGTACTTAAAATACGTGTGTCTTTATCAAAGTTCTCTGTGTGCTCTGCTCTGGTTCTGACTCTGAAATATTTCACTGAAATCAATGTGTGAAGTTGTTTCAAATGAGAGCCAATTTTAGAATCATTTTAAAATCAGGGTACTGATTTCAATCCACTTTACTTGGCCACTTCTTTCCACTAGTGACTGAGTCTAGGAAGCACACAGCTGCTCCGCTTTACAGCTGGGCAAGGGCATATGTTACCACTGGTTATAGACATGTGGAAACCTACGGCTTACGACAGATTTTGGAGACAGTCTTTCGAAAGGATATGAATAGGATGGCTTAAATATTTTGTCATACCCTTAATTGGAAAGAATCATACATCATGGTCAGCAGCTGGGTGCTAAGTACTTGCAATATGGGTAACAAAGGACCATCTTTCACAAAAATACTATAAAAACATAATATAAAAGAAAAATGTGAGCAAAACATGTGGACAAGCAGTTCATCAAATCGAAAATCTAATGACCAATTACCAATGTAAAAATAGATCCAAAGGACAGGCACAGCGACATGCTTGTGATCTCAGCAGTCGAGAGGCTGAGGTAGGAGAATTGCCATGCGTTCCAGGCCAGCCTGGGCTACACAGTAAGCTCAAGGCTAGCCTGGATTACACAGAGGAATCCTGTCTCAAAACAAAACAAAACAAAACAAAACAAAACAAAACAAAACAAAACAAAACAAAACAAAACAACAGCCTGATTTTACTTACAGAAGTATGAATGGAAAATTTGATTAGGTGCTGTTTGTGCTCACTGATTTAGAGAATATAATAAAGAATATGAAATACTATCACACAAGTGTACATGTCTACTGCACTGTAGCTAGACAAGGTGGTGAAGAAATGGAATTCCTTTCTTCTAGCTGTTGGGTGCTAGGTGCCACTTGGCAGTAGGGACACCACTGGGCATGCGCAGGTTTTGCTCTGCAATGCCACACATACAGACTCCAAGTTTAAAAAATGCCATATTCAGAAGTAATAGCAGAAAACTTCCCAAATATGGGGCAACAATCTGACATTCCTGTAACCGAAGCATATAGAACTCCAAATAGTATCAATCCAATGAAAACCACACCCAGACACATAATAATCAAGATTCCAGAAATTCAGCATAGGAATAGGATACTAAAAGCTGCTAAAGAAAAGAAACAGATCACATTTAAAGGAAAACCCATCAGAATAACAGCAGATTTTTCTTCACAAACCATCAAGTCAAGAAAAGCATGGAGCAAAGTACTTCAAGTCTTGCAAGAAAACAAATTCCAACCCAGACTGATATATCCTGCAAAACTATCTTTCAAATATAATGGAGAAGTGAAATATTTCCATGACAAAGAACAACTAAAGAATTTCATGATGACAAAGCCAAGCCTACACAGACTACTAAATGATGTTCTAGAGAGGGAGCAAATTGATCATAGCCCCATGAATGAGAGTGGAAAGAACCCGCCAAATAGGGCAAACAATTAAACACAGGAGAATAAGAGGTATACAATAGTAGTCTTTCAGTTTTTCTTTTGTGTTCAGCAGCACAATATTTTCATCAGCACACCCTACAAATGGACTTCTCGTCCATCCTATGAGTCATGATTCCACCTGAGTCTACAGGGTGGAATTCAAAGAAATAGCTGTAGCTCAGTTCCACAAGTGACGCCTAGCCACCAGTAGCTGTCACGGTCATTGTGCATGTCCACAACACACTAGAACTTTGTGCGATATCCTATCCTCAAACTGTTAGAAGTGCTGGTCATTTACTTGCCATTCCAGTATTTATCTTATGTTTTATTCTTAGTACTTCTTTGTTATCATGAAAACTTTTTCTTAGTTCAATTGTTTTGAAACATTTAATTTTCTGAATAGTGCATAATCTTAATTTTTGTTCTAAGATTTATACTGTATCTTTGACTTACAATTTATTTAAAAGACATTGTATGATATCTTCTAGCATTATAAACTTTAAAAGGTGTATTTCCATTTTCTGTTGACTTTAAAAAAAGATGTTTGTACCTATGTTGTTTGCTTATTATTTCTTGCCTATATCTTGTAATATGAGAAACTACTTTGGCAGTAACAATACACAATGTACTAACCATTGTTACTCTCTTAAAATCTTGTTTTGAGATTTTGTACCACTGTTTTTATTTTTTTCTTTAAAATAAAAATAACTGATGTCAACAAAAAAAAATAAAAAATAAAAAAAAAGTTTAAAAGAATGCCATATTTAACTAAGTTTGCAAGCTTAAACCTCTCCCTCATGCTAGCAGAAGAGGGGATGACTGCAGTACTCCGTAGCAGTTACGCAGGCTGTGGCAGTCCACACGTCTGAGTACAAAAATGTCAACATATTTAAGGAAAAGAAGTAAGCTGCAAAGTACAACATAGAATGTGTTTCTAGTCTTCAGAATATGAGCGTGGGTATTCTGACTGCAGTACGTTGTTCGTGGATACACACACATAAAACTAAAGGCAGTTGTGGGAGTAATGTACAGTGCCAACTGACGCACATGGAGTTTATACTGCCCCAATGAGGACAAAGCAAAAAACATTAACTGTATCTGCAGCACTTCAATATTCAAAGGCATTAAAACTGGCAGAAAAAATGTGAATAAGCAGTAAAACTTGGTATTGGCTACTAGCAATCAGTTGTTATCCTCAAAATATTTAGATTTAGGATATTTCATACTTTAAATATTTTGGAAATATTTATCAAGCATTTGGGACACCTATGTGTATTATACATTGCACTTACTTATTTACTTGTTTTTGTATTTATGACAGGGTCTACAGGGTCTACAGGGTCTACAGGGTCTCACTATGTACATTGGACTTGTAGTGATCCTCCTGTTTCCAGCCTCCCAAGTGCTGGGATTACAGGTATGTGCCACCACGCCCAGTCTCAATTGCCGTCTCAGTGTGCCCTGGGGATGGGGCTTGCACGGCAGTCCGGGGCTTGAACTGTGGCTGCTGTGCTCTGCCTACGCAGGTGCTTTAGTCACTGAGCCATCAGGCTGGCCCTGAACTTATTTTTAAAACTACTTGTGAAAATCTGTGAAAAGAGGTGAGACTTTCCTTCGGCATTGTGGCTGTGGTGTACAACCTCATATGTGAAAATAGCCGTAGAGAACACTATGGAGCATCATCTCTTTTAATGCAAGTGTCATGTTATATTTTATTAAGTTTGCATGTTTTATGCACGCTACATGATCTAACAATGCACAGGAACTTGAAGCGGAATTTGCTTCTGCCCTTTGTCTTACGAACATGACTTACTGAAACTAGTAGCAAAACCATCATTTATTAGTTTGAATTCAAGGTGTCCGAGTCAAATAAGCCGTATTTGTGTTTCCTTGTTAACTCAGGGCAAAAGCTTGTCCCCTCCCAGGCTGTGAGCTCTTGGGCATTTCCCGGGCTGGCTGGCGTGCCAGGGGCGGCGCCAGGTCCTGCACAACTGCTCAGGGGCAATCCGCGCACGCAGTCATCCTCAGGGGCAGAAATCTTTTTTTTTTTTTTTTTTTTTAGCTCAGATAGTCACATTTTCATGCTTCTTAAAGGAAAAAGTCCTATAACTTGCATGTAGTTTGGATATTTTTACTATTTATTGTTTTTTGAAAAGTTACTGTTAAATCAGCATCCTCGTTGAACTACAGGACAATTAAAACTGAGAAATAAGATAAAGTTATACAGATATAACATAAACATATCATCCTTAGCTATATAGTGATGCAAACATGAAACACATCCATTCACAGCTCTGGGTGTCCGGGTGCAGCGGTGCATGCCTGAAATCCCAGCACTCAGCGTGCCTGACACAGGAGGACTGCAAGTTCGAGACCAGTCTGGGCAGCTCAACAACTGAGCAAGACCCTGTTTCAAAAGAAAATATTTCAAAAATGGCTGGCAATGTAGGTCAGAGTGAAGGCCCTGGTATGCTCCATAATACCACAAAAACAGAAAAAGGAATGAAGAAAAGAGAAGAGAAAGAAAGGAAACAGACAAACCATAGTAGATAAAGTGGTCCATACGTTCACTAAATACTTGATAACTAATGCTCATATTAAAAAGCATGCTACTCTTGCACACATGCATATAACTGCTGTGAAATGTAACTTCTGAATTTCAAGCAGTTTTAACTGCAAGATACCTTGAGATAATATTTTTAAAAGTTTTAAGCCTTTTCTAGATTCGTGTACCCTCAGCACATGGTGGCACTGTGTAAGTTTCCAGCTCAGGACCAGAAATGACTGGGCAGGATCCCAGCCTGCTCTTGCACCACAGATAAAGGTGCCTTCCTCAGTGCTTCTGCCTTTGCCAGGGTGAGGGTCAGGCAAGGACTGCTGCACGGGCTTGAGGACCCCAGAATATGGGAGCGAGGGCCCTGACTTGACTCTTTCCCAAGATAGTCCAAAGTCAAAGGGACAGGAATGCAATGAGCTTTTGGAGCAACTTTAAGTTCGGGGACAATTAGAAAACCCCACCCCTATGGTACTCAGGAACATAGCGACATCAGGAAAATGGCAATTTAGCCATTGCTGATGCATGTGTA